TTTTCCTGCAATATTTGATGAATAAAATAATAAAATAGTCGGTATAAATAATTTATACATGATGGAAAAATAAAATAAATTAATTGATTATAATTTATAATATTATATTTTTTTATAATTATAGGACATTTCAGCAACAAATGAATACCCGTTTAAAGAAAAGATAAATTAGATATATTATGAATAATTATTTTACTTTTTTTTATAGCTCGGACTAGCGTTTTTCGGTAGCTGTTATAGATAGTCAATACCAGAATGTAATCATAAAATAATAAACGCAAACTGTGATTCTAGCCTCACTCTATATTTATAATATTACGTTCCATAATACAAAAATACAAAATACAATACTACAAATTGGCTTAAATATTGGAGGAAAATAGTAATAATTTTAGTTGAAAATAATGTGGAGGAAAATGGAAACCAACCTTTTATTGTAGAGGAAAATGGACAGTGGAGGAAAACGGGATATCGTTTTTGGGATAAAATGAAACCACCCTTACTCCTGTCTTATAAAATTCTGTTCAGAAAAATTCGTCTTTCTAGTTTGAAAAAAAAAAAAACAACACACTATATGAAAATATGAGCATATATTATAATAGGTATCCAATCAATAATATTTGGGACATGTAATATTGCATAAAATATTTAGYGTATTCATCTTTGCTAATCATTATAAATAATCGTTAACGTTTCTCAAAATATTATAATCCCTACTAAGATACTATATTATTAAGACGCGCAGTAAATGCAAAAGGTCGTAGTTTACTTTAATATTATTATTATCATTATTATTAATGACATAAATCGGGTATTAAGATCACAAATAATATTAAATATTCAGATATTTGTAATTCAGGTTATTCATTGGAGCCAAAGTAATACAATCTCATGGATTTATATCCAAAACGCTCACTAAGCCGAAATTTTGATTACATTTCTTTGAAAAAACTTCAAATTATATGTATATTTTTTTCTGGTCATTTTAAAATTATGCAAAAATTACGTACCTTCACTAGGTAAGAATTTACCTATGTACGTGTTTTTATTATTAAAACGAAACACATTTTATAAAGTAGCTAAATAGTGTATGAAATAATTTTAATCTCGGCGGTATGCTCACTTCTAGCCTAAGTGCACTAAAATAATATTATTAGCATGAATCCTTAGGCATAATACTATGGTGAAATATTTCAGGCTATTTCAAAATGTGATACATTTATTAATTATTAATTATATTATATACCTAGTTACACAATTTTATATATTTTATTTGCACAAAGTATGACTGTTTGTCGTATAAATTGGTAGGTTACTGGATACACATCGGCCATACAAAGTCAAGCATGATAGTGATTAATKTTGTATAATATTATTAAATTAAATTATTAAAATCCTCTGCCATATGTGGATAACGGCCAATGGATTTATACTAGTGTACCACCTTYGCCGTTTCATCCATTTTGTAGCGTTTGAATGACACTACAATGCATTACCATYATGATTATAATAATAYCATGTTAGAGTTATATTAAGGGTCGAGTGAGAAGACATTGAGGGGTATACCGTCTTAATGTTTAATTATAACGCGTCGGACGACCTTAGGGAATAACGAAGATATTTATAATGCTAATGTTTTACTATATGTAGATTGTACCTACAATATTGTTATATAAACACGACTAGAAAATTATATAAGACATATATTGTTAACACTAGATTGAATATCAGTTCACATAATTTCATCAACAATAGATATAAACAATATTGATTGYCAACAAATAATTTTTATTATTATAACATAACTAATGCAGATTATATAAGCTAGGAGCAATACTTTTAATGTCAGTCAAATCAATCTATAACTAAAATACGATTTAGAGTAATATTCTGTTATGGTAATAACATGTAAAATGTATAAACATGTATAATTTCACAGGTGTTGGGAACCGAAGCAATTGACGTCACTGAAGTATTTATTCGACTGCAAAGGCGCCAAGTAGTGTACAATGTCGCCATACTGATATTCATTACATTTCTTTTGATATTTTTTGTACGAGGTAATTATAAAATTATTTATTTTTTTAAAGTGCACCAATTACATTGGTGGTTTGAACATTATTTTTAGTTAATTCCTTCCTTAAGAAGACGCTACACAACATTTGTTGTCTCCGTATTTCGTCTTACAAGTGCATAATATTGCAAATTTATGCTCAGAAAATTTAATTT